CATTTTAAACAGAATTACTAAAGTATTACAATGTGATCTTTTTACAGTAGCGTGTTACTGTCAGGTTTTTTTATAATAAAAAAATATTCACAAGCATGTTAATGCTATGATACAAACATTCTGCTACATGCAAATGAGATATTTCAATAATTGTTTATTTTGTTGAATTCTACTATATTCCTGTACGCAGAGATTTGTACTCTTCTGCAGTGTTGAGTCTGCTCTCGCTGGTCCAACACATCACAGAAGAATTGAGCCTTTCTTTGGCACAAACACTGGAAATATTTCAGGCATGTAAAAGCCAGGTGAACCCCAGCTCCAGGACGCTCTGAACAATGAAAGTGCAGAGCTTTAATCAAATAAAATCACTTCATAAGAGCTATCCCGTAGAGCTCAAAGACTATACTCCACCTAAACATGCATCCTATTACAAAACCTGAACACACCCCATCTCAGCTGAAGAAAAATATAATGAAAAAGAATTATGAAACAGACAAATTAGGCTGCAGATCCTTATTTTTTGAATAAACGAAGCAGTACTTGAGTCAATAATTAATTAAAATACAAGAGAAAGTATTTACGTTTGGCGTCCTTCACAGTTTTCAGGGCAGCCTGAAGCCTTTCCAGCATGTTGTCCTGATAAAGTTTCTAAATCCAGCTTCAAATCCACAGAATTTCTGACACTAAGGCTTTAAATCTGCATTTATTTTTTTACAAAAGGAGCAAAAATCAGGAGTGTTCAGGTGTTTTTTTCCCTTCAGAGCAGAGAAATTGAAGCTGCTTGCGCTGACAAAACTGATCTGAGGAAAAGAGAGGGGCGAAAGAGGGTAAAAAAGTGCAGAGAGTGTGTGTGAGAGAGAGAGAGAGAGAGAGAGAGAAAGAGAGAGAGAGAGAGAGAGAGAAATCACTGGAGGGAGGGTGAGAGAGTGCATATGAGGAAAATAAGAGCGATTTAATACTACACTGAATCCTTTCCCAAAAATATTCACATATCTATACTTATCACTATATACTATAACAACACATGCAATGTGTATGCATTACCATATAAAAGTTTAAATTCATTTTCAAGAAAAGAGGAATTAAAGGTGATTGTAATACTTTAAAATGCTTTTTTTATACTAATCATTAAAGAATCTCAATAATTGTATTTTATTTTCAATTTAAACAAAAGGTATAAGAAGAATTGTGTTTTAAACATTGACAACACTGTAAAAAATACTGCATTCCACACAAATCGATTAAGTTAACATAATTGTTTACAAATTTATATGGATTAAAGATAAAACAACCAAGTTGTACCCCAAAAAAAACTAAAATTGTGTTGATTCAATTTATTTTAAATAAGTAGTTTGAAAAAGTAGCAAAAAAATGTTTTGAGTGAATAAGAAGAATACTGGGATGAATCGCCACAAATATAAATTACATTTTGAAATATATTCATTCATTTTCCTTCGGCTTAGTCCCTTTATTTATCAGGGGTCGCCACAGCGGAAGAAACCGTCAATATCCAGCGGATGACTCCAAATGAAATATCTATACACAATTGCGTTCACACTCATACACGACGGCCATATTAGCTTCTTCAGTTTACCTATACCGCATGTCTTTGGACTGTGGGGGAAACCGGAGCACACGGAGGAAACCCACGCAAAAACAGGGAGAACATGCAAACTCCGCACAGAAACGCCAACTGACCCAACCGTGGCTCAAACCAGTGGTCTTCTTGCTTTGAGGCGACCGTACCGTCCATTTTGAAATATATAAAAATATATAATTTTGCTTTATATTGTAATAATATCTCATAGCATTATTAGTGTATTTAGTAATTGGAAAAAATAAATGCAGCCTTGGTGAGGGTTGGATACATTTAATATTTTTCTGTAAACAAGTTAAATGTCATTTATTTTTAAGGATATACATGATTGACTGAACTGGTAATCTTTAATAAATTATATGCAACAACAAAAAATTAACACAAGGTACTGTTAGTACACTAAAGACCTGGATGGGCCCGGTGACAACAAATTTATTTTTGGATTACAGGGTAACACTTTACAACAAGGTCTATTAGTTAAAATGAGTTATTGCATTAACTACAAAGAGCAATGCATTTGTTGTAGTATTTATACATTCACACAAATAAACAATAGTTAGTAAATATAAATATTGTCAATGTTTTTATAAATCCTTTCTTCTTTTCATTTCTTTTCAATCAAACTTTTCATGGGCTGCTTGGTGGCGCAGTTGGTAGCATGTTTGCCTCACAGCAAGAAGGTTGCTGGTTTGAGCCTCGCCTGGGTCAGTTGCCGTATCTGTGTGGAGTTTGCATGTTCTCCCCGTGTTCAGATGGGTTTTCTCCAGGTGCTCCGGTTTCCCCCACAGTCCAAAGTCATGGGCTATAGGTGAATTGGGTAGGGTAAATTCTCCATCGTGTATGTGTGGGAATGAGTGCCTATGGATGTTTCAGAGTGATGAGTTACAGCTGCGTAAAACATTTGCTGAATAATTTTGCGGATCATTCCGTTGTGGCGACCCCAGATTAATAAAGGTTCTAAGCCGAAAATTCATTTTTGTTATCCAAGTTCCAATATTTTATTTAATTCGTTATTCATAGCATTATTTCATTTATTTTCATATGAACCTATTTTAAAGTATAAATGTGATATGTAATAAAATTTTAATAATGTTATAATTTAAAGTATTATTATATTTGTGTTAATAAAGTGTGTAATCAGATATTAAATATTTATCACAGATATTTTTTTCAAAATTGTTAAGAAACATGTAAAACAGGCAAATCTCACTGGTTCCTGGACATCTTTGTAAATGAATGTGGATCTGAAAACATAAGATGTTTTCAACAATACTCTAAACTCTGCTATACAATACACCCTCAAAAGACAATGACCAAGTACTGAACTACTACAAAACACAACATATAAAAGGACAAAGAATAAGAAAAAAGAGAATGAAAACAGGAAAAACTGCAATCAGGAAACGGTTCCATTTGTCGTTTCACAGTTACAAGCACAGCTGCACACAAACCATGACCTCACTCCGATTTTACTTCATCCTGCATTTACAAACCCTTCCCCTCAACGCTCAGAGCAGTGAGCTACAAAATCATGCATATTAGTAATTAATAAAAACCAACTATAAACGTCTTCTTACAAATCACAGCGTACACATCAGCCAAGCTTCAAATCATCTGAAAGAAATCATAATTAGTCTGCTAATTAGAAATGTTCTATGAACATGCTTATTGCATAATGACATGACTCAGTCAGACAACATGCTCAGAGGATAAATTGCCCCCTTTTCCTCCCAACAAATCACCTGGCCATGAAAATGTGGAACAAGAATTGTTCATTCTCTTTATAGAGAAAGAAGCTATATTTACAGAGTTTTGATGTTTATATTTATATGATGTACTGTGAATAATAATACAAAACTACTGTATTAGTTCATACATGTATTAATGGTGTCATTATTTTGGCTGAAGATTACACAACACAAGGTCACACGTTTAGGCCAGAACATAAATAGATTACTCACTATGATTCAGCTTAATCCCTGATTTATCAGGGGTCACGAAAAACAGAATGAACCACCAATTAGTCTGGCATATGTTTCTACCCACCACCTCGGAAACACCCATACACTCTCTCATTTACTTACAATCATACACTATGGCCAATTTAGTTTACTCATTTCACCTCTAAGGCATGTCTTTGGACTGTGGGGGAAACCAGAGCACCAAAAGGAAACCCACGTGAACTCAGGGAGAACAGGCAAACTCCACACAGAAATGCTTCCTGGTCCAACCTGGACTCAAACTAGCAACCTTCTTGCTCTGAAGCGATTGTACTAACCACCGAGCATTTCAAAGCATTTTACAAAGGACAGCTTCCAGAATTTTTCCCTGTTTAGTGCTGGATTCAGCCAAAACCTTTGAGTATTTAAATTTTTGTTAAAATTTATTTCCTTCATGTATAGTTTCTAGGCGCAAGGATGTAAACAACGAGAAACACTGTTTGCCACACTGTTAACAATTTACAAATGAATTCATATTTATTAAATTAATATCTAAGAGATGAAAACACCAACAATCTTCACTAGTGATTGCAATGTCTCTCTACATGGTCGCTTTTCCTGCGTTCAACACTTGAAATTAACTTGAGTTTGCAAAAGATATGTGAACCTTTCGTATTACTTACACATGCTAACCCAAATAGAAATGAAAGACATTTGTCAAATATTATTTTACATTTGAGGCATGGCGAAACTGTCAACACTAGATGCCGAATTGCTAGTAAGAGGTATGACGTTTCCTAGTGAGGTGGATCCAATCCGCAAATCAAAACACATTAGGTTAGCTGACCAATCAGAGGCCATTGGCGGCGGGCCTTTGGAGGAACCAGGAAATATCATAGTCGTATTCATGCTAGCTGAGTACCAGTATAAAATTATGGCAAGATATGTGAAAAAAATAACGTGATTTTGTACAAATGAAGCACGAGCACACAATGTTTAGCAGACCATAAACACAATCAAGCTTTAAAAAAAACACTCTGGACCACCTTTTCAATACCTGGCCTCTTTTATACTCACAACCCCAAAACCCAGTCAATTCGGGTCACGTCACCAACATAACCTTCACATTTTTACTTGCCCTGTCCCCAAGTGGTATTCAAACCAGCTTTTGGGTATGGAACACAGGCCTACTAAAAAGGATGCTAAAGAGCATTTCTTTTTGTATGAGCTACTAAAGCACCTCATGAGGCCATGAGAGTGAATTACATGGATAGTTTTTTAAATATCAAATGCAGTGGTCATTAAAAGAAAATGTCTGGAATGATTTGAATGTAATAGTCTATCAATAAGAACCAGATGGCTTAGCACTTGTTACTACATGTACAACAGAGAAAATGGTACCCATGCATTTTTTTAATGTAAGCGCAGATTAGTAGCAAAGTGGTTTTGACAAGACTACTTACTTCCATTCACTACATCCTGGGATGCAATGACAAACCCGAATCCTTCTCCTGGTCTTCGTCTCAACTCCACATCCATGGCTCTGGAAGAGATTGCTGCCCTTGTGTCCACATGGCTTTTAGATACTGCGCCAGGGTTAGAGACAGCAGTTCGGCTCCACTGAGCAGGTCCGTCCTCCACTCCTAACCAGTCCCGAGGCTCTAGGGTCAGGGTAACGGGCACTGAGTCCAGGAAGCTGGTGCTTTGGACCAGGTTGGGAAGGTCACCACAGGGCGAGGAGGGAGAGAGGGTGCTCTGGCTGGGCACAGCACCATCAGAGGAGGGCGAGGTCAGATCAGGAGTGCCCAGTGAAGGAGGGGGTCTCTTATAGGCATTCGGGGAGCCTGGGGAGCAAAGAGGACCTGAGAGAGAACATGACAATGATGAGTGAAGGGTGTTATATTCTGTGTAATGGTAGAAATATGAACACAGTGTCGATGACCCTCACCTCCTCTGTAAACCAGTAAGACCACCTCCCCCTGTTTGGTATGTTCTTGCAGCACCCGCTGCACCTGTTCATATGAAAAAGATCATATGCAGTGATTCAGATAAGAAAAAAAGTTTCAGAACACTGTAGAGTTACTGAATTACCTGTGCAAAGCTGAGGCTCTGCACATCAGCCCCGTTGATTTTAATAATGGCATCCCCTGGCTGTAAGGAGTGGCACTGTCGCCTGTCCCAGACTCTCTTCACCACTGCCAACTGACCTCCCTGCCCCCCAGCCGTCACACTGAAACCCATTCCCCCTCCCTCGCTCCTGCCCAAGGCCACAGGTACCAGCTCACCCCCTCCCCCACAGCCTACCCCACCTGGGGCTCCTGGGGACCCTAGGCCACCCGGGAGAGGCCGCGGGGGGTTGTTGGCTGGACACCCGTTGAAACCACAGGGTGGGTGCTCGGTTGGGGGTGCGACGGCAAGAGATGTTTGGGGCATGGGAGGCCGCTGGATGCTGGGTGCTCCTGGTGGTGGAGCAGTAGGACCCACCTCAGGCTGGGGTAGTGGGAGCGCAGTAGAAGAGAAATCACTCTCGGAAGACTTGGAACTGTGATTGGTGTGAGAAGGGGCTGGAAGAGAGTTGTTGTTGTAGCTTCTGATAAGGGAAGCTCTGTGTAGAGGATGGAAATAAATGCATGTGTACACAGGGTGGCATCAATAATAATAAGAAAAAAATAAGTAAACTGGTTTGATATTTCAGATGAACTGACTGTCAAATTTTTGTTACCTGCGTGTGACAACAGAGCTGACCTCTGTATCGCTATGACTGGAGCTCATTCGCTCTGAAGGGGCGGGGCCGTTTGATAAAGGCACCGCCCCCAGCCCTATAATCCCTCCAACTCCATTTCCATTGGCCATTGAGTAGGAAGGCTGGGGTGCAGTGTTCCCATTGGCATCCAAGGCCTCTTTCTGCATGCGGGGGTAGAAGTTGTTGTGGAGTGACATGGAGCGGTTGAGGTTCACAAAGGCAGGTTGCTGTCCATCAGGATGCTGGACCTGGGATTGAGCAGAACCAGGGGCTGCAGGGTTGGTGTTGGGTGTGTCAGAAGGGGAGGCGAGACTGGTTTTGGGGCAGCCATCAGGGTTGTAGAGCATGGGGTAACCTCGACGAAGAACAACATCCACACTGTGACCCATGGGGACGGATTTCAGCATTTCTACTACTTCTTTATGAGACAAACCCAGCACACATGAGTCGTTGATGTACACCAGGATATCCGCTGAAAGAGAGAGAGATTTCTGTCATTTATTTTTATGCATAAGGGAAATCAAATTGTAAACAATCCGATTTTTTTTTGAGTGCAAAGAGTACAAGAGGAATTAAAGTGTAGAGATGTAAAGATTTAGATCTAAAGCATAACATTTAAATAGTTCAGTCTACAATGCAAACCGACTCCCAGTTAACAAAACTAATGTTATGTGTAACATGCTAGCATAGCCATGAAGTTATGAAAACACTATTTTTAAACGTTCTGTCCTAATTCAAGACTTCCAGATTTTAAAATTGCTTTAAAAATGTTTTGGGTCATGCAAAGGTTAAGAGACCATTCCGATTGATTATTCCAAACACATTATGGAAACTGATGTACTGAAGCTAAGCAGGGCTGCGCCCGGTCAGTACCTGGATGGGAGACCACATGGGAAAGCTAGGTTGCTGACAGGAGTGATGTTAGTGAGGCCAGCAGGGGGTGTTCAACCTGCAGTCTGTGTGTGTCCTAACGCCCCAGTGTATTGATGGGGACTCTATACTGCTCAGTGAGTGCCGTCTTTCAGAGGAGACAAAAGTGGTTGTTACATTAATATAGTCTCTATATAAACTGTTTGCGGTCGTTAAAAATCCCAAAATGTCCTTCGAAAAACAGATGGTCGTTTAACCCCGCCATCCTGGACAAATTTGCCCATTGGTCTCTGTCCATCATGGCCTTCTAACCATCCCATATCATAGTTGGCTTCAGCACTCTGTCTCCTCTCCACCAATCAGCTGGTGTGTGGTGTGCGGTCTGGAGCAATATGGCTGCCGTTGAGTCATCCAGGTGGATGCTACACACTGGTGGTGGATGAGGAGATTCATGTAAAGTACTTTGATAAGCGCTAAATAAATGTAAGGAATTATTATTATTATTATTATTATTATTGTTATTAGATGTACAAGTAATATTTTTGTGCTAAAATTTACAGAATAGAATGAAAGACATCCCGCTGTCAACAAGAACACTGATCATTAACAATTCTGGAATTTGTTTTAATTTTAAGAGAACCTTGTCAGTATGTTAGTTACAGTACAATTCAGAGAACAGTAGCGTATTCTTGGTGCTGGGATGTGGCTGAAAGGGCATCTGCTGTGTAAAAAATATGTCTGAGTAATTGGCGGTTCATTCCACTGTGGCAACCCCTGATAAATCAGGGACTAAGGTGAAAGTGAGTGAGTGAGTGAGTAAGTAATGGTTATTATTGCAATTATTCATTTATTTTATTTTCAGCTTAGTCCCTTTATTAATCAGGGGTGGCCATAGCGGAATGAACCGCCAACTTATCCAGCATATGTTTTACTCAGTGGATGCCATTCATGCAACATCCCAAGACTCGGAAACACCCATACACTTGCATTTACACACATACACTACGGCCAGTTTAGCTTATTCAATTCACCTATAGAGCATGTCTTTGGACTTGTGAGGGAAACTGGAGCACCCGGATGAAAACATACAAACTCCACACAGAAATGCCAACTGACCCAGGCAGGGCTCAAACTAGCAACCTTCTTGCTGTAAGGCGATTGTGCTAACTCATGTGCCACCGTGATGCCCATTGCTATTATTATTATTGTTAAAATTATAAAATTACTATATATCCAAATATATTATCTTTACTATTTTTATCATGTTCATACATAAATAGTATTACAAATGACACTTATAAAAATAAATTAAATTCTATTTGTTGAATCAACTGAAATCAAATCATGTATCGCCTGACCCCTTTAGGGATAAGTGATGGCAGGAGGCTTTGTGGGCACACGTGAGCAGACAGTGTTGTGTGTAAAAGACAGGCAGATTAAAACCTACAGGCGCATCTGGATTAACAGCAGATCAGCAGCAGATTCAAACCATGAGACCCTCCAAATCACTAAACACACACACATACACGCGCGCGCATATACACAGACTAATCTAATCCAGAGAGAGAAGGAGTGTCAAGGGATTTCCAGCCTAAAATAAAAGTGAGGATTGGAGGGATAGATTAGAGGATAGGGAGAGAGGAAAATCAAGCAGCTCATCTTTTATCCATCAGATCCTATTCTCTTGCCTGGCTTTTTCTTCCATCTATAAACGGTCTGACTTAAATCCAGATCTATGAAGCTTTTTGTCTTCTTTTAAATGTAAAAAGAGGACATTAAAGTCAGAGGTGCCGTTACGTCACATATGATTCACTGCGTCCTCAAGAGTCCCCTGCACAAATCTATGCATGTTATTAAATTATTATGTCTGTCATAAATGTATAAATATTTAAAGAAGTGACCTGTTGAAGTGCCATCTCCTGTTCTGCAAATTTGTAGAGAGGCATCAAAAAGCAGGAGCCACTTATAGCAGTTTCCAGGAGAGACCGTGTTGCCATGTGAATGTGGCATGCAGGAAAGCATTTATTTATTTTTATTTTATTTTTTTAAATTTTGTCCAAATGTGACATTAGAAAGATTAAAAAATTGCCTCATAAAAATATTTTTTACATTAATAATCTTATGCCTTTCCAAATGTTCCTGAGTGTTCTTCTGAAATGTTTCATTATGAGCAAAGACATTTGCAATTTATCATGATTTTTTTTCTCTAAAAATTGCTTAATAATAATAATAATAATAATAATAATAATATATAAGCAATAATAGTCAACTATAAAATAAAATCTAATATTGTTCATCTCCCAGACCTTTCAAAACCATTACAAGATTAGAATATTAATAATAAAATACAGTACATTAGCAGTTAATAAATACTGTAGTAAAAATGCTACAGATAAAAATAAAAATGCCCAAAAATCTCTTGTATTTAATTGTAATAACAACAACAATAACAATAATAATAATAATAATAATAATAAAAACAAAAATTATATAATTTAGTAATTGTAAAACAATAGTAAAAATGTTAAATAAGAAAACCATCATTCACAAGACCTTTTAAAACCAATACAGTAAGTTCATTCATTCATTCATTCATTCATTCATTCATTTTCCTTCGGCTCAGTCCCTTATTTCTCAGGGGATAAAAGCATAAAATAAAAGCATAAAAATCCAATTTACAACTGTATCAAATTCTTAATTTGCCTAGCAGAAAAATGACTTTCGAAACCACTATATTTAATAATAATTATCACCGTTATCTATTTAGTACACTGTAAAACCCAAAATGTTAACTCAAACCGTTTGAGGAAATCAGTTGAAATAAAGTATTTAGGTTCAAATACTAATCTTCATGAGTAATACTGTGAACTTAATCCATTTGAGTAAATAAAGCAATTTGAACACAGTAAAAGCCAATAAATTAAGAGAACTCAAACCAACTGAGTACTGTAAAACCCAAAAAGTTAAGGCAACTCAAACCGTTTGAGGAAACCTAATCTATATGAGTACTGTGAACTTATTCCATTTAAGTTAAAGTAAAGAGGTATTTAATTAATTCATTATCTTCAACACTGAGTTCAAAACTCTTTTCAAATGACTAGAATTAACTTTCAGTCAATTTTGAGTTAACTACACTCATTTTAATTCGATAAAGTTGACTGTTGGGTTTTACAGTGTAGTATTTTTACATGTACATTGAGAAATAGCTCAACTGACCCACCAAAGAGACATGTTGCAAAAAATTCAATCCTAATATTATCTGCTATAATCTGGATACTCTGCGGACAGTGTTTGTACTTGTTTTCTTAAGACTTTTTAAAAGTGTTTTACCTGTTTTGAGTGCAGACGGTCCCCCGGGAGTGACACTGTACACCTGCAGAAACTCTCGAGGTCTGCTGCCACCCACAATGTTGAAGCCAAACCCACGGGGTCCCTTCAGCAAGCGAGTGTGTATGGAATAGCCCTTCAGATCAGATGGCTGGTCTGTGAATGCAGGTACTAATTCATGCACACAGACACACACACAAGAAAATTTGCATTTAAAGTAAAAACAGAAATAAGTGTTTATGCCAAGTACACAGAGTCCAACAATAACCTTAAACCTAAACATCAGTGTTTAACAATGCAGCGAACTGCTATACAACACTGCCATCTGCTGGCGCCATTAGAGCTGTACATATGTATTCACTCATTTTCTTTTCGGCTTAGTCCCTTTATTAATCTGGGGTCACCACAGCGGAATGAACCACCAACTTATCCTGCATATGTTTTACACAGCGGATCCCCTTAAAGCTGCAACCCAGGACTGGGAAATTAAATGCTAAATTATTAAACTAAATATTAAAAATGCCATCAAGCCATTTGAAGATAAAAAGTAGCTACTTTAAAAAAAACAGCACAATATCATATACTACTGTTCTTGTAAAATTGTATCTTTTTTGTATCTTTTCTGATACTGTAATAGTAAACACCGTTTACCACAATGCAGTGCATTTGAGAAGACTTTCTCATTGCAACAAATTAGCAGGTAATACTTGCATTTTTTGAATCATCTGAACAAACTGCCAAAAGTATTTTTTTAACACAGCTGCATCAAAAATACGAAATAACCACAACTGAACGTATACATGCAATGTTAAAAGCACATGTGGCAATATAGCATACTACTTTTAAAAATTGCATAATTCATAGGGTTCCATATACTATTTTTAAACAATAGCAGACAGAATGTAATATATATAGTGCGTCACTGTTTTTATGTGTAGTACATGTGTTATACATTTTAAAATTCCTATTTTTAAAAATACCACTCTCTTAGACTTTTATACCCCACTTTTATATGCATGCACAGACTGTATTTTCTGTCAAATAAGTTGTATCTTGTTAAAATTGCATTGCTGTGGCTAATGGTGACCCTAAATAAAACAAATCTAAAATTGCTGTAAAAAGAAACAAATCCTTTAAACTTAAAGGGATAATTCATCTTAAATATAAACATTCGGCTGCTGAAGGCATCATTTTGATTTATGTAGCAAAACCTAATGTACAAAACTATTACCCTTACTTCAGTCTCTGCAAATATCCATTCATTTTGCATTCAGTTTACATAAATATATATATATATTTATATATATATATATATATATATATATATATATATATATATATATATATATATATATATATATAGAGAGAGAGAGAGAGAGAGAGAGAGAGAGAGAGAGAGAGAGAGACTTAAGAAATTGTACCGTTTATAACTTTGACAAACTAATAACAATTCATTTTATTGAATTGTTTATAAAATGATGAATAGGCAGTAATATTTACCTGAATACAGTCCGATAATAAAACACTGTTTATTTAATTTGTGTCTTTTTCTCTATTGAATTTATCTATACTTTTTTCTTATATTTATGCACTCAACTACTAAATCATCAAACCCCATTTTAAATCGCAATATCACAATACAACCTATTGCAATATATATCGCAGAATAAAAAAACATCGCAATGTTAAAGTTTTCCAACATCGTGCAGCCTATATATACACATCTGAAGTTAGATTTTTTTCCTTTTTTAAAATATTTCCCAAGCGATGTTTAACAGGGAATTTTCACAGTATGTCTGGTAATATTTTTTTTTTCTGGAGAAAGTCTTATTTGTTTTATTTCAGCTAGAATAAAAGCAGTTTTTAATTTTTTAAAAATCCTCTTACGGTCAAAATGATTAGCCCCTTTAAGCTATTTTTTTAATAGTCTACAGAACAAACTATTATGTTTAGAAATATGTTGGAAAAATAGTATTCAGAAAAGAAAAAATATTCTAAAACAAATATAAAGCATAGTAACATTCAGAAAAAGCAACATTTTAATTAACGTCAAACTAATTATTAAAGGTAAAACTGAAACGAACAGAATATTGGACATAAAAAATACCCACTATACAAATATTCATGTATCTGACCAATTCAAATATTTGGCATTTCACACTTTTTTTCGCTTGCTTGATGCTATTGACATCCCTGAATGTCTCAGATTGCATATTTTGGAAAATAGATTACATGCATTTGCACAAATTGCTTTCTTAACAGATTTATAAAGATTGCCTGATTAGATAGCAGACATGACCTTCTCAAATATAACAGAGTGTGTTGAGTGACAGATAACAAAAAAGAGAAAAAGAGATGTAAGAATGAAGCGAGCGGGGAGGGATGAGAGGATTGTGGATAAGGTTTGAAAGGCAAAGGATAAGATGAAGGCGTGAGAGAAAGACTAAATGGCTCCAGGAAGGTTTGTCATTAATCTTTGTGTGTGAAGACTGCAGAGAGAGAAGCGAGAGTGTGTTTGGGGGCAGAAAGTGGAAAGGTTCCAAGCATGCACGCACGCACACGCACACACACACACACACACACATGCACACATATACACTCACACTCTGTCTTGCTGACAATCTCTTTGCCCTGAGTCCTTGGGTCCAGCCAGCTTGTGGTCTTTGAGTTATGGCTGAAAAATGAAAGAAATGAGAGAGACTGTTTTTCCGGCTCACAAGGTTTTATCAGCAAATTTAAGATGAAATACAACAGCAGTTTTGAAAACAATAAACAATCATTTTTATAGGTCTAGGCAAAGATTATGCACTTTTCACTGATGTATGTGCATCTTAATAGAGTAAATATTGTGCAAAGTGGCAAAACAATTATACACTTGACACATTAAGCAAACTTAAAGGCAAAGATTTTGCACTTTTCCTTACTGGAAAAGTAAAGGTTATACTGCATCTTAAAGGTTACAGTTACACATTAAAAACACTTTATTATCATAAAGCATACATTGTGTTCATCCAATGATTTTCATCTTAAAGTGGAAAAGTCATATTTTTAAACTCAAAATGTATGCAAAATACAAAAACAAAATATATGATGTGCATTTCAAAACTCAAATATCACATTTTCAGACAAAATAATTATTAAAAATACAGTCTCAACACATTTAAGCAGAGTTAATTTTCTATAATTCTTCAAACTGACCAACCCTTTTGTTGTGTTGGGGCTGTTTTTGCCCTATTGACTTCCATTATAACCACATTTTTTATTGTAAAGCCATGACACCAAATAATCATGCATTCTTGATTGTTGGTGTTTTTCCTTGTTGGTAAGAGGTAAAACTTCAAATTTTTCATGTTGCTCATCAGTTTGCACTCTTGACCCTTTAGAAATGCCTGTGCAAAACAGTTTCTGGCTTTTATATGGAGTTCTATGGATTAAAACAGCAGAATATAGTGTTTATGCAGAAATACACTTACTATGTTTACTACCCTGCACGCACAGGACGTCAACATGACGTCATATTGACGTTGTACCCCAACGTACCAACACAACCTAAAATCAACCAAATATCAACTTAATTTGACTTTATTGGACATCAAAATAATGTTGACCGCTGGCTAGACGTTGAATTTTGGTCACCAGACGTCATGATCTAAATCTAACCTAAAATTAAATGCATGCACGCACACACACACACACATACACTATACTCCACATAACCATATAATTTTAAGCTTTGTTTTGCACTGTAACTGCTGATTAACAATAAAAATCACAAATTGTACCTCTTACAAACAAGGACAAACAACAATCAAGAATGCATTAGTATATGGGTTCATGGCTTTGCAATCAAAAAATGTTTTTATAATGGAAGTCAATAAGGGCAAAAACAGCCACAAATATAATGAAAGGGTAGTAAATTTGCCTAGTGTATTTTTGAATTTTTTGTAATTTTTCAAAGTATTTTAGCAATATGTCTCCAAATAAGATTTGTCACCAAAAACCATTGCATTTGCTGAAAGGCAGAGAAAGTTGTGGCCAAATTAAGACTCAAAATCACCTCAGAGTGGCTGAAAACATCCTATGATGTGCATCTTAAAGTTGAAATATTGCAAAAAATATATCACAATATAATGTTTTATGCCATTCAATATTGATAATTATTGAATATTTTTAACAATACATTTAGGAATATTATGATTTTTTTATTTTATCCACTTTATTTTTAATTTGCCAACATTACTGAGGCAAATAGAAACAAAAATATATTAAAAAAATATACATCTAATTTCTTTATAATAAAATAAACAAATGTAAAAGACACACTTAAACTTGATAAATAAAATGTTAGAAAGTATGTGCAACTAAGGTAAATCAACATTTTGTAAGGTGTGAATAATAATGATACAGACAACATCAAACTCTGTGAACTATAACTATAAAATTATGATAATCAAATCTGAGCTTTCATGTAAAGAAACCAGCTATAATTATCCAAATACACATTGAACAACACAAATTGTGATATTGTATGACTGCATTACCAAATAGGGAGCTAGTGGCTGGCATGCACAAGAAAAGAAACCAAAAAGCCACTCTGCCGACATCCTGACATCCTTATCTCCTGACTTAACTAGGTGTGCCTGGAAAATGTCTTCCAATGCGAGCGCTCAGTAGCCACTTCTCAATAAAACTATAGCGCTTCATACCAAAACTTCATACCCAATCTTTTTTTTTTTTATTAATATTGACAATGATGTTATATTGATAGCGATTTTATCGGCCAGTAGCCATTTGTAGCAATAATTTATCTGTTTTTCAAACCTCTGTATTAAAGATATAAACACCACACTTAATTTTTATTAAGGCAATGACTATGCATTTATCATCTGAGGTGCATCTTAAAGTTAAAATATTTCCTTTTATAACAAAAAAAGCATTAAACACTAAAGTTTGATCTAAAGATTAAGTCATTTTAATTTATGTGTTTCATAAATTCATGTTTTACGATTAAGCTAACTAATTAAAGGAAATTTGTTTTCACAGAAGTGCATCTTCAAATTCAAATGTCACCTTTATTTGTCAAAAATCTAAAGTGACATACAAAATCGTCACATCACTTTGAGTAGAATCTTTAATTACCAGAGGAAGCAAATGACCTTCTGTCTATTTTTCCCCGCTCTATTTCCCATTTTTTCCTTCTCCCCCTTGATGACTCACTTGATGTAATAGGGTTCTCCTGTGTCACTGAACGCCAGCTCCCAGTTTTCAGGCAATGCCCCTCCACGTGCTCCGTTCTCAATGGGAAGCCCTCCGTCCCGCACGCCGCCCAAGTCCCATGTCTGATTAGGTGAGACAATGGTGGTAGGAGGCGCACTGCTGGCCCCTGCGGACCCCGCTGCCAAACACAGTCAACATGGCATGAGATGCAGGCGCTTTGTATAATCTTGGACAACCTCAGGTCAGCGTGAGGTCATGCTGTTCATGTTACTGTCCTCTTGCCAGCTCTAATACGGAAGTGGCATCAATCCTGAACACAATTCCATAGCTTTTAATGTCAAAAATGTAAAACTGCAAACATGTGCTGGCTGAGCTGACATCCATTTGTCTTAAAAATCCGTGGGTTCCAAATAACGGCAAAATGGAAAGTCAAGTCAGATTTGAAGATGCTGGGAGTTTTCGCATAGCACATGAAACTCAAAATATTGTACACATTACATGAAAACAACAAAAATGACTTTCGTATTACTGGCTAGTAAAGAAATGTGCTTAAAGATTTGTTTTTAGGTTTAATTCATCAAAAAAATTAATAATAGCTAGATGTTAGTTTTAACAATGGCTTGTCTTGAGCTGATAAGTGTATTGACTATATAATGGAATGAAAATATTATATTTTCAAAATGAAAAATTAATAAACAAACATATGTCCAAACTTAACCCAGCCTCATTACGGATACGTACCCCTGTATACATTTCTGGAGAGCACGAAATACATTCCAAGAGGTATGTTTTTTTGCTGTTTTTGTTTTTGTGAATCCACCAGAGGTCACTGAGCACACTTTTTCAGATCTCAAATAACTCTTGCGAGTGTCATCCACGCCTTACTCTGTTATTTACTTGCTTGTTTTTTTTTTTTTTGCCACTTGTTTTTGTTTTACCTGCTTTCTGGGACCATTCTTTGGGACCAAGCCTGCCAACATTTGTAGCAAGCTACTGGGCAAACTGGCAACAAAAAAGCCTTGCACACGGAGGTAAACTGTCCCATAGCATTCATTAAAAAGATTAAAAGCAGCCATACATAGCTCTGGCTACATAATTTGCACTCTCCAGAAATGTATACAGGGGTACGTTTTCACAATGAGCCTGTGTTCCCAAACTAGTGCCTTGCAGTACTTCATAAGAAATAGATGCTGTTGAAAATAGTAAGTCACTAAAACCAACAGAAAAAGTTTACAAAATTATCCCAGCAATCATAATTTGTACACAAAATTGCACCAAGATTTCAAAACAAACACATTAAGCTTATCTAATTTTTACAGATAATGCATTATGCAGTTTTTGACATTTACGCATCTTATGGTTCAAGCTTGACCTTCACTTGTCAATAATCCAATGCAACAAAATGTAAAATCCTCAATAATAGTTCATTTGTTGTTTTAACAGTGACTTGTCTTTATTAGATAATCTTATAGACTAAATATACCATTTACCTGACATTACCTGAAATTAATTAAGAAAAAAGTGACTAATATAAAATAAAGTTGCAGCCAACAGCTTGAGTACCTGACAGACCAGAGTCTTCCTCGCTGTTGTCACCTTCCTCCACTGCTTTTTCCAGGTTGCTGAGTGATTTGCTGCGGGTACGGAAGTTCCTCAGGAGGTTTCGATGTTCCTGGTATGTAATGGGGGGGCTGTCAGGACCGATGTGAACTGGCCGAGGTGTGCCATAATAGTTCCCTGAAGACATTAAATATTTTTAAAAATTGCTCCTACAAACCCCTAAACCAAAAACGCAATACCAGCACACCTCAAAAACAATGGCCATTGGACACAATGCATTATATGCCCTAAATGAAACAATCCTTGTCAAGAGCCATTGTCATTCAAGTAAATTTCTAATGCAGCCAAAAAAAAAAACAAACAAAAAATATTTCTAGAATTGCAGACCACGACAAGCAGCTCAAATAAGGGGCTTTTGAAAGTTAAATTCCATTTTGAAGAAATGAACATGTTTATCTGAAAATAGCCAAAATCCAGCAAACCCACACAAGCTGGCATGAACTCCACAGGTCTGAAGCCAAAGCTCCTCAAAATCTGATGATCCATGTTATCCTACATGATTTGACTGAATCTTCCAAACGATCAACTCCAGTTTCAAAGGAAGCAAGAAAATCTGACCTTTTGTATCACAGAGTACACATGATTAGGGTCATAAATTTGCCTAATTGCTTAAACAGTGAATTAGCTTAATTATAACATAAAATTGTTAAATGTTCATCTTTCCAGCAGATTTTGAATCTAAAAGTAATTTCCAATGCGTCATGTTCCCCTGCTGTATCTTTTCAAGTCAAAGTTTTCTGTGTCAGCAGTTTTACTGATATAATTGTAGCACATTTCATCCAAAAAAAAAAAAGATTTTTGTTTTGCTCCTGGGTGCTGCTGCAGCTCTAGGTCAAACTCGTTTTAAAATCTCTAATCACTGTTGTTATGAAACTAATAAACTGAAAGGATGTTCCAAAGCTCTTTTAGCAATCAGATCAATAGCAAAAGCAGGAGATTAATCCACCTCTGAACATCTAAAGTACACCCAAATCAAAACAGAAACTGAACTCTAAAAAGTGTCTTACACACAGTAACACTTCTGTCCTTTTTTGCGGATTTTGTTTTCTATTTTTTGTTTTTTAAAACAGTCTAAAAATATCTATATTTTAACTTTCAAACTGTAACTTGTTTCATTCATCATAATCAAACTCATTTTAATACAAACAACATAGATTTTGTGTATTTTAGATGCCAACTTAAAAGCTCATCATCTGCAGATTCAGAGAGAAACCACGAATGAACTGCACCAAATCCAATTATGATGGCCCTAAAGGTATCTTAGAATACTGAAAATATTCCCACAGGAATTTGGTCTCATCTGTTTTCAAATCTTGTTCTATTTTTATTTACTTTTGTGTTTATTGTCATGTGATTTATTGTCAATTGTCATTTATTGATCGTATATGTTGTTAGTGCACTGTCATTTTTTATTTTTTGCTTCAAGTTCAGGTCAATGAAAATAAATGATGGCCTGTTTTTAATTATTATTTTTTAAAGATACTGCATAATACCAGACAGATCAATTAATAAATAACATGATTAGTAAATGTTTAAAGTAACACTATTAATACTAACATTAATACACTTAAATACATTATTATACTAATACTAATGAAATATTAATAAATAATGAGAAACTAACAAATAAAACATTCGTAATACTATTAAGACCCATGGTTCTTGCTAAAAAGATATATAATTTAACACCAAAAACGTGAGCTACCATTGTTACAGTCTTAAGAACCCACATTTAGTACGATTTAAAGTCATTTTTCGAAAGTATAGTGTTCCAGTAAAAGTTACAATTTGCACTTTAAGACTACCAAGAGATGCCCACTCATTATTTAAGGGTCTGCTTCACTATTGTACAATGGATATATTTTCATCAGTTTCAAAGATTTTTAATTGAAGCATATGCCAAACTCCTTGCTGTGGCTTATTTACAACTGGAGAAGAAAAAAAGAAATGGGAGAAAGAGAGAGGGAGAAGGAATGGGGGCGGAGGAGTGATTGGAGACAGAAAAAAACTGAAATAGGGATTACAGAGAAAAGCCTCTTTTCTCCTGTACAGAGTGATAAAAAAGTAGGAGTGCGGAGTGGTTTCTGGCTTGAGAAATGACTCATGGGCTGCGGGGCATCACTGCTCAGGTGTTAGCAACACTTTTGGAGTTAATTATAGACGTTTTAAACAAATAATACCACATTTTGAATTTCTAGTAGTATTTCTAGGGGTTCAGTAAAGGTTTAAGGGGTCACGGGTTGAGCAATCAAATATCCTTTGATTATTTGACAAATTAAAAGGCATTGTATTGAAAAACCATTGTGTAAGTTTCAGAACTCAAAGGGAGTCTAAAAACAGGTTTTATTGATAGCGAGCTGCCAAAATAGCTCGTTTCTGATTTGGTCTCATTATGACATCACAGTGAGACAAAAAGCAACAACTCTGCAGTAGATCAGCGCCTACTTCTATATCACTCCGTTTTTAGCCCAATTATTCATGTGTGTACTGAGAGATTAAATATGAAAGAGATGCAAACACAAGACTTCTCCGGCAACAAAACACGCAGAGGATTACAAGATGCTGTGCAGTGCCAAGTTGTGGAAAAACAGTTTTTGCTTTTGAAATCCTTTTGCTTTATCTGTTACAGAGCGTTATTTTAAAATGTACATTTTTAAACAGAATGATTCATTTCTATCTGCATTCATCATATGTGTGTCCATCTATTAATATTTGTCCTTACAGCGGGCATTTCATTCCAAGCGTTGAATGCTGCGCACAAATCAAAACACGATAATTCAATTAAAGGGTCAGAAACTGGATAGAAAAGAGACTTTTCTTATGTTTTGTGTAAATCTCTTATATTCATCTAGGCATTTAAGATTTGATCAATACATGGATATGTAATGGATATGTACTTATATGGAATCTGCACGTGCAGCAATCCACAGATTTCCACACACTTTTAGCCAATCATTGACTATTTATTTACTTTTTTATTTATTTATCATTTTGTGTGTAATGCATATCAAATGTGTGTAAATTTGTATTTATTAAGTTTTTTTTTAATGATTTTAGTAACATTATTGACAAATATAAAAAAAGTTCATATTTATATACAATACTGTTCTGTCTACAGTTTTCTGTCTTTTAGTAGATACAGTGCTTAGCATATATAAAGTACACCCCTCACAAATCTCTTTTAAATTCATATTTTTAATAGGAAGCTATACAATATTATTTTCTACATATACATTAGATTAATCAGTACTGCAGCCAAATCTGAAACTTATCTAACAAAATCTTACAATAGCGATCCAAAAACTAGCATACCCAAATTTGTTATATATGTTATATATGTTATAGTAAATATTAAATACAAATTTAAAAAAGAGGAAAAATCAAGAGAAACCAAAAAAAATTAAAACATTTGTTGAAATGTTGTAGGTTGCAGTTTTGTAGTTCTGTTTGCAATATTTTGCTCGAATTTAATTGTATTATTGTTCAATTTTTAAATATGTTTGGTGACTAAAAAATATTTTAATAAATATATCTGTTTAATAGATCTGGCATGTTTAAATGCACCAAAATACATTGCCTATATACACTGAGAAATGAATAAAAATATTCATTTCCAAAATGAGGTGTATTCAATTATGCTATATTATATAAGAGACTTGCTTTGTTTACCAAATAAGTGGATCTAATTGGGTTTGCATTGTAAACATTAAATAAAATTTAAAACGGTATTAAAAAAAAAAGGTAGAAAAAATTACTGTCCTACTGTCCTACTGTAGTAATGAGTTAATAAAAAGTAATCATTTAACATTACTCAGTCTTCAATGTCACATGATCTTTTAGAAATGATTGTAATATGCTGATCTGATGATCAGTTATGATTAAATAACCTGTTTAATTAACATCTTTTATAACATGTCTTAAGTTTAATGTATCCGAACGTGATTTGAAGCATTTTTAACAAAAAAAGTACTAGAATATCATGATTTTCACGAAATTAAGAAGCAGCAGTTTTCAACAATAACAAGAAATATACAATATATTACAATAATTACTCAAAGTTAAAAATTACATTTCAAAACATAGAAAAAAGAGCAACATTTCATTCATGCAAACTTGGTGAGCATAAAAGATTTCTTCCTAGCCCTAAATGCTTTAAACACTGCTGTACTGTATATATATATATATATATATATATATAAAAGATTATTTTGGCAGGGCACATTAAAAGCCAAAAGCACTAGAAGTATGACATTTACATCAGTCAACCCCATTTGCTGTTTAAATTCACAAAAAAGCAGATTGCATAAAAACCTCATGGGGGACTGAAATGGACATAATAAGCGAGCAATATCTTACTTACTTTCCAAAGACAAAAGAACGTAAAGTGTCGCAGTGGCGTCAAAAACACGACTCAGCGGAAACATATTCATAAATCGGAGGGCTGCATCTTTGAAGGATGTCATAGTGTGAGTCTGCAGCTGTGTGTGAGATCCTTAACGGAGACATCAGTCTGCGTTACACGCTTGTTCTCTCTCCATTAGGGCTCTTTTTCAGCTCTTTCTGCTGATAATGTTTGGAGGACAGAAGTGAGCCAGCACGGCACTTTTCTCTGCAGTCTGGAGGCTGCTTCTCTGGACTCTGATTGGCTTGAGCTTTTGGAGCTCTGGCGTGACGCCCTGACCCTCGCCATGTGTTCACGAGCGCACACAAATTCAGATGCATGCGCACACAAACTCGGATGAACAGTAAATAACTCCTTACACATCCAAAACAAGCTCTGCCTGCTCCATATGCTCACATAATATCATCATTAGCTTCAGAAACATTTTCCATATTGATTTTTTTTGGTATATATGGTGGATATGTAAAACATTTACATAAAAAAATATTAAACAAGGCTATTTAGTTAACTTTTTAGTTAACAAATGTAGAGAAGGCTTAAGTTTAAGAGAAGGGGGTTTGCTCATAAGCAATTTTTAAATATTTAATTTGTTATTTGACAATGGCTGTAACCTTTTTGACCTACGGTATTTAAAATAAATAAAATTTTATTATAATAACTAAAACTTACAATTAGATAGTTTAAAGATTTGGATAGTTGGAACGATTTTAAATGTTCAGTGATCCCATTATTATACAGCTTGGTATAATTAGAGAAATGTATATTCATTAGCGTTTCCCATGGCACTTTAATATTTCATTCATTTGCATTATTCATTTCAATTCAAGGTCTAGAAATCTCACTTTTAAATTTAAGCTCTCATACATCCAGGCTTTTTAAAACTGTGAGAGTCCTAGAATTCAATGTTGATGTTGTAGGCATCTTGAAGGCCACCTTTTTGTTGTTTAATGTTCAGTTTGTTCACTGTAAAAAAAGGCTGGGTTCCACACAATTGCTTCCCAATTGTTCCAACACAAATCGATTAGATTACCTTAATAGTTTTTACAAATTTAAGTAGACTGAACATAAAACAGGGGCGGCATGGTGGCCCAGTGGTTAGCACTGTCGCCTCACAGCAAAAAGGGTTCTGGTTTGAGTCCCAGCTGGGCCAGTTGGGCATTTCTGTGTGAAGTTTGCATGTTCTCTCCGTGTTTGCATTAGTTTTCTGTTGTCCTCCCCCACAGTCCAAAGATATGCGCTATAGGTGAATTGAATAAACTAAATTGCCTGTAGCTTATGTGTGCGAATGAGTGTGTATGGGTGTTTCTCAGTACTAGGATGCAGTTGAAAGGGTTCAAACTTATGCTGGAACAGGTGGTAGTTCATTCCGCTATGGCAAACTTTGATAAATAAGAGACTAAGCCGAAAAAAAATGAAATGAAAATGAAATTACCATAAAACAATTAAGTTCTCCCCCCAAAAAACTCTCAATTGGATTGATTCAGCTCATTTTAAATAAGTAGTTTGAACAGGTAGCGATTTACTGAGGTATCTTTTACAATGACATTTTTAACCAATTTAACCATTGTAGTGAAAAGAATTGTCTGTGGATGAGCTGCAAAGTGTTAAGACTACTGTAAATATACTGCATAATCCTTAACTTATACATGTAAATGTATAATAGTCTATTTGTGAGTTACACAAGTCAGTGTGCTGTTACCAAAACCTGACAAGTGTTGATAGGTTCAGCTTTAGCTTTATTGTCATTCCACTACATGTGTGGACAGACAGTGGAGCGAAATGCTGACATAAATAAAACTAATCATAAAGATGAACACAACACTGCACTGAAAACCTTAATAAGTTGACTGAACGAAATTGAGTAAACCCGTTGCCTCAATTTAAATGAGTCTCCCAAAACATGCATATTTAAGTTTATTTAACTTGCCAGTTTTGTAGATTATACTTAAATTGTTCAGTTCAGTGTGTGTGTCTCTGTGTGTGATTATATACTATGAAAAAATGTTTAAAAGAAAAATAAGTAGCGATTTATTCCTATTATGGTAAATAATTTTTCAAGAAGCCTTGATTTCTGATAAGTAAGACCTTGCACTAAAAGGTTGCACATATTAGAATTTTACAGTCAGGACTACACTAAAAGACGACATAATTTTTTTTTTCAAAGGATTAATTGTGATTTTGAGCTTACTATACTTAAAAACTTAAGATTATGCATTTTCGTTGTATATAAGTTAAATTAACTCATATTTTTAAGTGACAGGACCAAAATGCTAAATTTTAAGTAATGTTCGGTCAACTTTACTTGATTGTTTAAGTAAAGACAACATTAGGGTTTACAGTGTGGACTGACAGTGAGACATCTGTGGTTTTGCAAGGGAACCAGACTAGATTTACACTGTTAAAATGTGCAATCTTCAATAATATGAAAGCATGTGAAGAATACCTAGAAAATTTCTGCGCTGGGACACTCTGGAGAACAATGGGGATTGTTTCGATTTACAATTGAACGAGGTAGCAAAGAAGATCTGTACCTCTAGTTAAAGAGTTTAAGTTAATCTGATTTGTAAAAAGAATCAAACTACATGAGTTTGGTTATTCGTTGTCTCAGTTAGAAGGGAAAAAATTTTAAATCTATTGAGGCAATCGGTTTCTTTAAATGTTCTGAGTATCCTGAAAATACCATGTTCTACTCTGTTGGGCTGTGAAGTGATGTTTGGTTGAGAAACAAGTTTAGACGCATTAAGTGGTTTTAAAGTAGACAGTGATTCTGACCTTTGAACTTCCCACTTTCCAGCAAGGCTCCAGACTCTTCCAGAGAGAAAAATTCTTCAATGGACACAAAGTTATAATCCACCCCTGAGATTTCTCCGTCCCGTGGTTGCCTTGTTGTACCTTTGTAAACACAAAAAGAGAAAACATAACTGTAATCATTAAAAGAAATAAAATGTTTTTGCTTTTTGTTCAACTGTGTATCTGGTAGAAGTAAACAACAAGCCTTTTAAATGGAGAATGTAAAAATAGGAAGGCCTGTAGCGCAAAAGACACATGGGGCTTTTTAAAAGATCGCTCATTATTTTTTTATGGATTTCCATCTTCAATCTAATGCATCTTTGGTAAAAAAACATCCTGATGACATCACTAGGACTAAGGTCAGTCGCTTTGATGCGTCTGATGTTTGGATTCATCGACCTTGGATGAAACATATCCACATCTGTCAAACATAAAATGATTGGCCTTAATATAAATAGAGGCGAAGATACATTCATTCATTTACATCATTAATTAAACTGTTTGTTTTATGGATGAGAAATATTTATTACCAAATCGACTAAGCTGAAAAGAAAATGAATGAATGAATGAATGAATATTCATTACCATAATATTGTAACTGTCATTTTAATGATGTTCAAGTTGACATTTTGTAATTCGATTCACAAAAAAACTAACAAGTGTAATGAGTACACTGTAAAATATGCCGGAGTCCACTAAATTAATTTGTGTTGGGACAACATGATGGAATTAGGGGGTGCTTACACTAGGCACGATTGCCTTGAACCATGCCTGGTGCAATTGTCCCCCTTCCCCTCTCCCCTGATGGACTGAAATCACACTGCATTTTTACCTTCCCAGCTCGAGCATGCTTACGTCATTGATGATGCAACTATTCAGTTATAAAGAGAAGCGTTCTCACTCAGTACAATGGAGAGCGCTTTAGTTATATTGTTTTTTTTTTTAAAGTCATTTGGGATGCATTGACACACAGTCAAATCTTTTGCTGAACAGATCCACCATTTTTGACATTGTGCTGCACGTATTAGGAGATTTGCTGAACGTGGCAGCTGACGTGCAATGAGGGGTTTGCATCTTTAACTAGACAGTTCACGTTCACTGAAATGTACAAATGATTAATAAATCCATATAAAGCAGTCTCTTAAAAGTGACTTTGATTCTTCAGTTTTGCACACGGACACTATAAGTGTACCTCACCCGAGCCCAACGGAACCGCGCTCTGTGCCACCTCTTCCAACCTAACTGAGTCCAGGCACTGTTTGCAAAACCTTTCTTGAGTACACCCTAGGTTGACTTCTTAGCAGATTGACGTTGTACCCTTTTTTTATTGGAAATGACAATCAGGTTGACGTCAGAAACCAATGTCAGGCTGGCGTCAATGTCTAACAGACATTTGCATTTTGGGTACTTTCCAACGCAACTTAAAAACAACCAAATACCAATGTCTAATGATATTACAGCTTGACATTGTGTGGACATCATTTCACTTCACTATTGGACATTAAAATAACATTGTCCATAGACGATGGTGACCTAAATCAAAATTTATATTAACATCTAATGATGTTGCGTGTCTGCTGGGTTATTAATTTTTACAAATGTAAATGGATTGAACATAAAACAATTAAATCCTCTCCACAAAAATCTAAAAAATTGTGTTGTTTCAGCACATTTTTAGTAAGTAGTTTGATAAAAACAGTCATTTTGAGTGTACAAAAGCATTTACTGTATGACAAAGAATATAAGAAGTTATAATTTCTCTAGAATTTATGAAAGCAAGACAAACACCTGTATGACTTTTTCTTTTTATTTACAAAATATAAAATAGTTATGAAATAAATGGTAGTTACGAAATAAAACTTAAACAAAACAACTATGTGACATTTAACAAAAAATCTATTTATATTGAGCAAACACCAAGGAAAACTGAGATATATTTTTGTCAATATCACACAACCCCACAGTATGCCTATTTGCATCTAACTTTGGCAATGTAAAGTGACACCTGGTTAAGATTTCAAACAGTTTAAACTTGTTCTCAATATTCCCACAGTGATGACATTATATAACTTCCTCTCAGCTTTCCATCTCGAATGAAAGTTGGGACAAGTGGATTTTCCTGAGGTAGATTAGCCAAGCATCCTGAATTAAGCTAAACTGATCACTGTAACTCACTAGCACTGCAGAAAAGATACAGTAGAAAACATTGATGCTTTGATCAGTCAACCTTCAGTAGCCAACATAAAAATGGCTCAGAAGCAAGTCTTGAGGAAGAGAAAAGGTGTGTGGTTTTGTGCGGTAGACTTGTGCACCTATGTTATGAATGCAACACACTCACACACAGTTATTCAACACCAAGCAAGATTGTAATGACTTAAAAGCCTTCAGCCACCATACACAATAAATCATCCATAAATAACAAAGCACAAAGAGTGCAGTGGATAGCAGTAATGAGGAGATTGTAAAAAAATTGATGCAAGGATGTCGCCAAAGTGGCTTTTTGGTTTCTTTTCTTGTGCATCCCAGCCTCTAGCACCCCATCTGACAGAGTTTTAGTATAGTGGGTAATGTAGTCATCCAACTTCACAATTTGTAATTTTGCAGTATGTATTTGAACAATGATGGCTGATTCCTTTACCTGAAAGCTCACATTTGATTATAATATTTTGTTTTGTTTACAGAGTTTAACGTTTACTGTATCATTATTATTCACACTTTAAAGTTTGCTTTGATAGTTTAGTGTTTACACTTCCGCATTGCACACACTTTGTAACATTTTATTTATCAAGTTTAAGAGTCTCTTTAACACTTATTTAAATAAAGTAGTTAAATAAAACACATTCCTAAACTGATTATTAAAAAATAAATTATCAATTTCGTATGATATGAAACATATTTCATGATAATTAATTTTGCAATATCATCCCTATATGTAACAATTGTTTATCGCTACTATGGAAATCAATGGTTTTCAGCTATCTTCAAAGTATCTTCTTTTGTGTTTAACAGAATAAAGAAACTCATAAAGGTTTGGAATCTCATGAGGGAGAATAAGTAGTGAGAAAATGTTCATTTTCGGGTGATTTATCCCTTTAAGGGCTTTTATTTCTATAATAACGCTCCACATTATAGAGTTATCCTGGATATTCAAAAGGAAAAGATTCATTTTATCTATCAGAAACTGATTGGATTATAAAAAGCAGGCATAAAATGTCAGAACAGAGCCAGGTGGTTGTGGTTTAAATATAGAGTGGTTATGATGTCAGCTGGAGAAATAAAAAAAAAACAGCCAAGAGAGTTATTACATCTTGATGAAAGATTATGAGGAAACATTTTTTTTCTTTGGGAATAACATGCACTGATGAATTATAAACAATAAGACCAGGAACATGTTTTTAGAAAAGTACATAATGTTGACTTTAAGTTGACTCTAAAAGCCCCAAATGTATCTGTATATCCTAACCATTGACTTCTTGCACCTGGTTAAATGGAGCAATGTGCTTTTATACTGACACACCTGTGCTATTTAATCTTAAAAAGAACAGAAAAGAGGAGCATCTTACAGTTCACAGTCTTCTAATTGCCTGCAATGAATTCAGAGATGTGACAGTAAAATGAGCTGTTTTATGGTGCCAAAATAATGATGAGTTTTTTTTTTTTTTTTAAATAAATGTGCTATTTGGAAAACCCTTTAAGTCTGACTAGACTGGCTGTGTAACTGAACCGACAGATAAAACGGCATGTGAATGGTGCATGAAAATGAGTGCTTGAGTGTAGCGTTCGCAAGGATGCGTGAATAGATCTGTGTTTGGGTGCTTATGCGTTTATGCGTATATGCATGAACAGGAGAGCTGAAAGGCACAGCAGGGTACCTCATGTTGCAGACAAAGACAAATGTGCAGCTCTGGGATTCAAGAGCAGGAAACAGGCAAAAATCGGTATCAAGCGGAACAACTTAAAACGCATTCTGAATGAGAGCCTGATACCGGCAGGAGCTATACATTAATAAATGCAAGCAATCTTTTTTTTCTGAAAATAGTTGCCGTTTTGTTGCCAAGGCAAAAATATGGAACGGTGCCATTCACAATGAGCGCACTGCTGTGACATTTGATGACGGTTGCCATGGCGATGGTTAAAGTGCATTGCATTGCCTCAAAGTGACTGAACCTTTGACTCCGCATGAGGTTTGATGTGATTGTAAACTGGATTTGTTTATAGTCTGTGAGAGCATTAAAGCATGAGACTGCATGCATGCTTTTGCTGGCTGGCGCATTACAGTATCTCATTTCCCATATGCGCGCCTGTGTTTTTGCTGCAGTTGTTTTACTGTAGGGGTCTTCAGCCTTATTTCTGACCAAGGAGCCCGTTGGTACGGTACAAGCAGGGAGCTATTTTATACTGAATAATCGTGAGTTGCCTATGATTAAAGTATGGTTTGTTCCAGGGGTGTAAATTAACAAATTACAACTTCTCAAATTACTGAAATTAAGTAATTTTCTCAGAAATTGTACTAAGTAGTTTTAAAATTGTGTACTTTTACTCTCCCTTGAGTACATTTTTGGTGCAGTATTGGTACTTTTACTCCACTACTTTCCTTCAAACTGCAGTCACTACTTTTAGTTTTTCTTCCAATAAAAATTGGCTGAGTAGTCCTGTGATTCCTGTCCAATCAAATCACACATAGAAAGTAAATTGCATTATACTAAACAACCTCAAGACATGTGCGCTTTAAAATTGCAGGAAACTGTTTGGAAACATTAAAAGTGTCCAAGAAGATCTCCAAATTCTTTATACAAATTGACCTAGAGATTTTTTAGATGCATATCACTGATGAGAAGATGACCGATGTTTACTGTATGATGTCCAAAATGGCCATAAACCCCCAGCAGATTGATGTTGCATTTTGTTTGGGAAAGAAAATCAGGTTGACATCAGAACCCAACATCCAACCTGAAATCACATCAAAACCCAAATGTCCAACGTCCAACTTAAAATCAACCAAATGTCAATGTCTAATGATGTTACAGCTTGACGTTGTGTGGACGTTACCACTATGACATCTATCAGACGTTGGATTTTGGTTGCCATACCAGACAAATAAA